TGACGGTACGAAATTTGTCTAAGAATTATGAATTTCTTGCGATCTTTTAACTTTAATTGCGAACATTTCCTTGGTTTCCTTTCCGAACAAGTTAGCTATCATAAAAGAGAGTCATCAAAATCTTGACATTTTCAAAGTTCAAAGTTGTCAACGTAGTTCTTTCTCAATTGTGACCTCAATAACTTCTTTCTTTCTCCTCGGAATGAAATGATTCCTGTATTGCTTACCATTCTAAGGGTTCTAAATACACTGAGTCCATCAGCATGTATTAAGTATCCCATTAAGCTGGCTGCCACAACAGCTGCGTCAAACAAGTACCATCGAACGCGGACAAATGCTGTCGGTCCCATAGCGACCACACGAATCAGGATCTCAGTAGTAAACAACCCAGTGAACACCTATTTAGCAAAGAAAAAAGGCATTGATGTCATATTTTCGAATCTCAGTGATTTACTTATTCATTCATAAATATAGCGTGCAAAACAGATCATCTTACAGTATAGTACTTATGTTCTGTTGACTAAAACCGACCGCAGTATTACTAGCGATCGTTCGGCTCCAAGGGAGGCTCTTATACAGGCTACTACGGCATTAGATTAACATTGTCAAAATGATCACAGATGGTCCACACTTACCTACAACTGGAGCTGTCTAATAAATCAACAGTTAGATTTGTTATCCCAGATTCATGTAAACGATCACTAACTTTTACTCACCCAATTCAAAATATCCAAGACGCGCCTAAACTCGGCAGGAATACCATGGTAGTACATTGCCAGAACAACTGTGTTCAAAACTATTAGCAGTAGAATCACCAAATCGAATGCAGGATGGGAGGTGATTTGCTGCATGCACTTTCGTACCATTTTCCAGCAGGATTTTATATGAGACAGAACCTTGCTCGTTACTTTGTTTGTCTCAGACCTTTGTGTTAATACCCTGGCTGTTAAGAATTGGCGAAATGATTCACGGCGCTTCGCTGCGTTAGAATCCGCATCTTTGGCTTCAAGTTCTGATGGAGGCGTTTGGTTTCTATCTAATAGAGTAAGACGTTTCAACATTCCCTCATGTGCTTGATATGAACAACCAGTCCGTCGCTGATCCATCTTTTCACCCTAATAAATCATGCACACAAAACAACACAATGTAAGATAGTTCTGCATCTATTCTGCCAAATAAATAGAACGGTTTTCAATCTCGTGTCATAAAACCAGGCAAGTAAAGGATAATCAATCTGGTCAATCATCACTGCCGCTGCACCACCTTTGGGGACAAATTAATGGGGATGTACATGTATAATATACTGCACAAAGCAGCTAGAGTGGAACTGAATTGTTCAGAGCAAGACAGGACTAACTGATAAGGTAGAGAGAAGAGAGTATTTTTGTAACACAGGCCCTTCATCTGAGTGTTTGCTCCTTGCTTTCGCTGTCTTAGTTGGTTGTGAATCAACATTTGGAGGGAAAGGTAACGAAATTTGGTTTAACTCATCAACAATTGTCAAACTTGTTAGGGACGAGGGGAAAGTTTCGTCTCGAGGAATTGCACCGTGAAAAACAAAAAACAACTGATACCCTGGTTGGTTCACTCTTTGAGTTGGCCTACCTATGTTGATTGAATTTGCGGATATCTAAAAGTACCTCCTTTCCGTCTGAAGATAATTCCTGTTCATATGATAAGTACACCATCGCCAATACAAGGTTCATCAGGTAAAAGGCGCAGAAGAATATTCCAATGACAAAATATGGCGCGTACTGCGCTCCAGAGGATCTGTTAATCTAATAGGAATGATAAGTGTTCAGATTTGCCCGTTACACCATGACAGTTTATAGTTTGTATCACGATAGTCACTTAAATATTTTTCACCACTTTTCCACGGCTTACTGCCTGAAGTAGGACTGACGAATTCTGGCTTATGGCACATGGTTATGTTTCCTTCAGTTTCCCTCTTATACCCAGAGAAGATCTCAATTGATATACTTACCTTGTTGTAAACGTTTTGCCAGAAATCCATTGTTAGTATTTGCAGAGCCATAATAAGAGACCAGCCCATGTTGTCAAATGTCGTGTAACCATGATTTGGGTTTGGACCAGCGTTAGGCATGCATGTGTAATTGGATGGACAAGATCTTAATCAGGGAAAACGAATAGAGCACAAAATCAATTGATAATATCTGTAGCCTTGATAAGCTAATTGTTTGCACTGTATATACAGTGTAATGGATTTTCTACGGAAATGACTAACGCGGTGTTCTGTTGAAGGTACAGCGTAACAAAAGCTAGTGTTGATACATTGTAGATAGGATCCCGACTAGGCAAGGAAAAGAGAAGCATTTTAGTCATTTAATAAATAAGCTAATAAATTTATTGATTATATGATTATGCATATGTTACAAAATGTACCCTGCACTTGAACTGTTCCCACAAATCAAAGGATCGCCGTCATTAAGAAACCAAAACCCTGAAAGTAAAAATACCCATAATGTCGTTATTCTTGCTACTCAGAGGTCCCAGGTTCCGTTCAACACAACGTTAAAAGAAGTTATTTTTTTGTATGATGAGAGAGACTTGCCTATATGAATTATAAAACCTTTGCCTTAAGATAAATCCTTACTTTGCGAAATTAAAGATGACATCGGTGATGACGAAAAAAACATGATGAGCATATTAATGAGCACTGGGAGAGGCATGACGTGAAAATATGATATCAGATTATGATTAACATACTTAGTGTTGATGACATTTATAGAGATTGTGTCAGAAATAGCCATTTAAAATTTGAGGCAGAGCTTGCTATCTGCACTAATAGTCTATAATATAACGATGATGACGACAGTAAAGGTGATTATTATTCATTCAAAATGGCCGTTTTTATGCTAGAGACGTTAAAGTCGTCTAGTGTAAAAACGGGACGCACAAAAGTATATTTTTCTGAAAAAAGGACTAGGCTCTACTCTCGGAAGACACTGGACACGAGTTAAAGCGGCGCCAAAAATGAACTTCAAGCCCGCGAAATGCGAACAAATTGTTCAAACTCTAACATGGTGGCGGCGTTACAACTTTTAAAGTCTATTTCTCGCCATCGCCAAGTTCGTCTTCGATTGCATGTTTATTGGCAAGTTTAGGAGATAAAGAGTTGTTCAATTCTGCAAATATTCTCCAAATAGCAGATGTCGTCCGTCGAGCTATATTCTTGCTGTTATTACTATGTTTTTAGCCAATAATTCGCCTGTTTCTTGCTCTCGATACGAGTGAAAAGTTACGCCATTTTGTACTCACTACCAAAACAACTCAACCTCGTGCCCAGGTCTTCTCGGTTAACTGTTCAGTTTTCTGCCAATATATGCTGTAGAATTGACGTAATTTTCCAAATATCGAAAACTTCTTCCAAATTTGGTCAACAACTGCTGGTTATGATGAATTATATTTTGAATGAACAATAATAACAGTCATAGAATCCAGCTTTCGTATGCTGTGAAGAAGTATGTTGATCTTGGAGGATTTTGTCCGCCTCTGTCTTCGGCCCCCGTGGATAAAATTCTCCTCGATCTGAATAATTCTTCATATCATACTCAGCCTCATTCAATACGAGTAATGGTTATGATAACATTGATGGTGATGATAACACTCTTCAGTGTAGCCTTATGCACATGTATCCTAATTTAATTCAGATGCTTGTCTTACTTTCGTTTAGAGCTCGCTCTTGTTTGTTCTCTGTACTATTAGCATACTGAATGTTAAGAACACATTTGTTTCTCAGTTCTCCAGAAAACAGCTGGAGTCCAATAAGCGCCATCTGTGGCTCTTTCTTATATTTGTTTTAGTCCTGTAGTGAGTTGTCGAAGTCTCTTCTGTTATTACATAAGTGGTGACGTGCCTCTGGAATTTCGTTTACTCCATTTTTCCTATACCCATTAGTTATAAGTAAATAATGTCACTACGTGTTTTGTATGCCACATTGGAGTTTTAACTACGTCTTGCTTCTATGTACGTGACTTGAGCTACACACTTACATTTACCTTTCAAGGCAGAGATGGTCCTCAAGGCGCGAAGCACTCTAATTGTTCTGATTCCCGTCAAGTTAGCGATATTTGGTGCCATGGTGATATACCTGAAGAAATCAAAGTTTCTCCTGTCTGGTGCTTCCTTAACATTTAGGGAACAAAAATTTCATCTACAAAAGTCAGTTTCTTTAGACGTGATAACTTGAAGATGCAACGTCAATTTCATCACTCGAAGAACATTGTTCTCATTTTTTCTTGAGCGATCTTTGAAAATACTAAGTGTCTATAAGTATTATAAGAGATTGTAATATTAGATAAAAGTGACGGGGATGCTCATCGGAAAATTAAAACTAAACCTCTAAGGGAGACCAACGTGGGTGTGGCTTAAGAGTGAACGTTAATTGACCTCTAAAGAAGACCATACTAAAACAGACATAACCGCATTTTTGTAGATTTCTTTATGCACAGCCCTAAGCGATACCTGAATGAGCAAGTATAAATGGTGACTTTCCGTCCCAAACACCCTAAGTGAGACCAAAATATGCAATTTATACCCCTAAGCGCTTATGCCCGTACGAGTAAACCACCCTTTAAGTAAGGTTGTGAGAGTGCACCACAACCTTACAGTCTTCTACAAATCCGCTATTTAAGGAACATGTTGTTCATTTTATCCGCTGTTTAATACACCATACCCTAACAGGACTACTATGAAATCCAGCCAGTTCCATCCATCTCTAAGGTATGCGTGGGTATGAAATATAAATCCACGCGACAAAATCTTCATAACCATCTCCATGGTGTAGATTCCACTGAATACGTACCTGGTAAAAAAAGAACGTTTCTCCAGCATTAGTATCTGCACCATACAAGAACGGTTTCGTTTTCGAAAAGATAAAAGCGATAAAACACCAAAAAACACGGCCACTATCCTATACAATACAAAGATACCCAATACGATATACAGAAGAAGAAGAAGAAGAAGAAGAAGAAGAAGAAGAAGAAGATGATGACGACGATGATGATGATGACGATGATGATGATGATGATGAAGATGATGATGATGACGATGATGATGATGATGATGACGACAAAGATGATGTTGGTGATGGTGGTGATGATGACGATAATGATGATATGATTTATATGGGGTGATAGCGTGGCCCGGCTCATACTTTGTTTTCTTATAATGTCGTTATGTTCATATGAGAAGGCTGGTCGACTTGCCAAGTTCTCGGTTGCACAAAGAGAGATCTCGGCTAGAGCTGGGGATGGCCTTCTCATTAACCCAACACAATTTCTATGACGAAAAAAAGATGTGAGCCGAGCCAGCCCGGCTTATGGGGGTGGGTTCCAACATTAAAAGCAGAAGACATCCCACGTAACTGTATTTAAAAAGAAGTCCGTACAAAGTTATTTAAGGTGGAATCCGTGCTAAACACTCTGGAAGTTCACTGAAAGTCTTCATTTCAAATTTTTGTTTATCCTCCAACGCCTCGCTTTCATGACTAGGCACCAGTTTTTTCCCGCGTGTCCGCCATTTGTGAATACGGTGTATATGGCGACCATTGTTGGTGACGTCACAGGTCAACAGCAGCGCCACCACCCCTTAAATATACCTCATCTTGTTAAGACGATCAAAGGCTTTCCAGTAAAGGTAAAATTGTTTCAAAATACTGCCACAATCAAAAACTCCGGGGAGGGGTTCCATCCATCGGCCATTCAGGACAGATTCTTAAAGCGGGTAACCATTAAAATATGTTAGTGTTTCAACATATACCTGTTGTATGTCATTTCGGCGGTCCGTTTTCACTTTTCTCTTAGCGTAAAAATAAACTGTAATAAAAGGTCACGTGACGCAAAAATTCAAACCTTAGAGTGAACAATAACTTAAAGACATTCAGTTTTATGTTATTTCCAAGTTTGATGCTGTTGAGGTATATCTTGTCAAAATTACGGTTCTTACTGATTTTATGCAAATTAGGCTCTGGGTCATGCCATAACATGCTTGAGATAACAGGCCCTAATTCGCATCAAGGGAAACAAGAAAAGAAAGAAGATGAGGAAAATGACTCGTGAGAGAACAAGAAAAATGGAAATGTAGCACTTAGTATTTTTTCAGTTAGAAGGCAACAATAAAAATGCTTGAAAATGCTGGGAATTTCTGAGAATGCTCATGTATTTTTGTTTTGTTTTGTATTGTTTTTATATTCTTGGCAATGTTCGGGATTTCCAAAGCTAAAATACTAACTGTTTCATTTCAAAGATTATTAGGATGTTATTACTGACCAAAAAATTTCCCAGGATTCTCAAGAACCCCCGGGAATATTCACTTTTTACTCCTAGGGACATTTCGCGAAATATCTCTGGAGGCGAGATGAGAAACGGTTGTATAAGCAGGCTATATTAAAAAAGTAACCCGAAGGAATTCGCAAATCTTAGCAAATTATTCTTAGGTATTTTGAATTCCCAATATATACTTGAACGAGATCGCGTGGATATCACTAAGAAGCTAAGCTCTGAGTTTTAAAAGTAACTAATTTTCGGTTTACTTACTCAGCTTCATCGGGTGGATTTTCAAGTACGAGAAAAACACAGTTTATTAGAATGGTAAGGATAATAAATGACTCAAAATATCTAAAATGAAAGTTAAGGAAAATTGATCTGCTTCAAACACAGATTCAAACTGTAAATGAGTAAGGTTACGGTACCATTCAAAGGGATCGTTTTATTTTATTTTCACCAATCATGTCTAAACTCATGTTTTAATTTATGGGAGAAAGAGGGAGGAAAACGAGAATCAGGTTGGAATGGTTACACTTAACAAAACCTCTAAATAGATCCATTAAACGCATTCAACTCCAAGGCAGTAAAACAATGATGGTACGGTGGTATGAACAAACGCCTAACAACTCTAGACACTATTCTCAGTAGTACCAAAATCACCCGAAGTGATGATGGGTAATTACCAATAGAGAACAAGCCTCATTGCTGTCAGTAGTAGCTGCCTCACGTAAGGATCGTTTTTCAGATTGCTCAGTCTTTCATTTAGTGAGGAGCTAGTCAACGTTTCCCCGCCCACTCCACCCTTAGTGGTTTATTTTATTGATCTCGAGTCTATTCTGCTAGTCAATAAACTGCGTTGCCCAAACATTGTGGTCTGTGTTTAGTATCATTAGTAATTCGCGGTCCAGAGGTGTTTCCACTTCGATCTGGAAAGCACAACCTTGCATTGAACGATTGCTGAACTGTTATATTTATATTACATTTGCAGTTAGAGTTACATTGGCGTTACGAAGCGTAGCGTCCGGCCTGGAGAAACCACTGCTCGCAGGGTACATTGGCATTTACATTGTTAGAATATGTTGACCTTTGTTTAAAAGGATACTTGTTAGTGACCAGGCGAATTGCAAATCTCCTAATAGGATTTAGAGGTCCAAAGAGACACAATGACTTTGCTTTGTTGAATCGGAACACGTGATCTGCACTGGAATTTCCACGACGGCTAACCACCAAAAAAGTGCTGGAAGGCCGCTGAAAAAAACAGATCGAGGTAGAGAAAATATTTCTTGAAAAGCCCCAGATACAAAGAATAAAATATTAAAGGGTTCCATAGCTTGTGTATACATACTTCCAAAAGAAAACGCTGGGTAGGGTCAAACGTCAAAAGTTAAGTATTTGTTAGTTCAGTTGAGGTTGTGAGTAGGGGCTGATTTGGCTAAAAGAGCCACAGCTTTCTTCAGAAGGCTTTGTCGTTTCCAAGGGGCTCAAATTCGGTAGAACCTTGCACAGCCAATTGAAAAATCGTTGTCAATACTCACCACCATGTTTAAGAACATCCCTCACATGCCTTCAATAAATGACTATCAAAGGATGAATATCATGCCTCTCAGCTGTTATACATGTACTTCTGAGTACACTCGCCTCTTAACGTAACTGAAAGTTTAGATGTCAACAACTGAGTTCTACTTACACTTGCGGTGCCTCCATCAAAATCAACCAGCGGCTTTCCAATATAGAACGAAGGCACTCGGGCCGCCCTGCTACTTTTAGAATCATCAACTATGTGCAGCAGTGGATCCTCATTTATTCGCACTCGTTTTTTTCCTTTGACGTTTTCCAATGAGGGTGTAAAGGTAGGAGAAAAAAGATGAGTTAAGACAGTTCATTTCACCAGACTATAGTTCCATTTGAAATCATACTTTGGCCTTGTGTCTCAAGTCTCAAATCGGCATAAAGATGGGTTTAAGTTTACCACAAAAATACGCAAGCACAAAAATTTTTTTACAGAAAACAGTCGTAGGGTGCTTCTGTTTATTTGTCTGTATATCATTTTTAGCAGGAACGATGGCCTTATTTTGCCGGTGATGTTATTAAACTTCATCAAAATCTCGCTATCATGTTGCCGAGTATACCGGGGAAAGAAAACGTATTAAATTTGCCGGTTTTTTTATTAAATTGCATGAATAGCAAAATATGATTTGCTAGGTTACTTTCTTTATCAAAGACTCCACTGAGAATAAATTGCATGTATTTTAGACGGCTACGTGTTCGACATGTAAGAACTACACAGGGCTTTCAAAAAAACTAATAAATTTTACTGAGTGAGCAATTGGCTTCGTTTCTACTCGCTATTTTTCCCGGGAGAACAAATTAGTTTAAAACAAGAACATTACACAACAAAAATAACTCAGTTACTTTTAAGTTGAACTCGTCGGAACACAAAATTCAACCGTACTGACGATAAAGTTAACAAGTATAATTTACCTCGTGCGCTTGTTTTAACTTCATCCCAGACTTCTTCGTTCATAGTTTGCTTTCTTTGTGCAGCTGAGAAAGACGGCTAGGCAGTTTAAACGAGAGCGTCTTGTTTCTTCTTCGTGAGCAACCTTCGCCAGCGCTCACAAATGAAGTTGCCAATTTTTGAATATGGCGCGGAGCAACGGTTTTATTTGAATAATACATGGCTTTCTTACTGCACGTGTCTATGCAGCAAGCCAACAGGGGTTGTTTGCCACACACACCATATGGGACTTGTAGGCTAATTAACATTTCAAATAAATTCTTTTCCAAAAAAGGTCTTGGGAGAGTAAACCATTTTAAAGGCGGAAAAATCGGTTAATTTATTTGGTCGGAAAAGAAAACTTGCAAAGCCGTGACATTTGCTCCTGTGTCTACTTTGTAAACGAAACTTGACAAATGTACGTTACAGTTGCTTGGCAAAATAATTGCAAAGATTTCCCATTTTAATGCAGGAGTTTACGGTCTTTTGATGCAGCTGAACGTAAAACTTTATCCGGCAAGGTTTAAATCATTATAAATATAAGAAATCTCAAAGGCGAAAGCATTGTCAAACAACAGTTGAACAGCGACAACAATAAGCTTACCAGAACAGGACGGTCTCAGTTCGTTCCACTTTCTTTTCTCCATATATATGACATGAAACTTTTCGCTTTTAACGTGGCATATGCCTCACATTTTTAGCGCCAAAAAAGCCGCTAATTGTTGGATGAAAGATTCGATAGGTGTTCTACCGCCTGTAATCGGAACCAGTCGTTGTTCGTCGTGGCCTCGATATATCTCGATATATGGCGTATTTTATGAGTAGTTTCAGGGGATGTTTACATGGAGGTGGGAGACCCCAAGTAGGTGAGGTAATCTGCTCAGATGGGGTAACCCGCCCGTTCATATCATCTCTCTTTTAATTTGTTCATGTTTAAATAATAGGTGGGGTGACCCGCCACATGTTACCTCACCTATGTGGGGTCTTCCAACTCCATGTAAACAGGTCTTTAGTGGTTCTTTACTGGACAGTTACACCATGTTTGCTTTTTTGTCAGTTTCGCCTACAAAGTTTCACAACGGCCACCCTGGAGAATGAAAGCGGCCGATACAAAGAAGTTTTCCGTTGTAGAGAGGTTTGACAAGAGTCAATGTATGGATTATTTGTCGGCCGAGACAGGGCCATTCTATTTTATATCCCCATCCCCCCCCCCCCC